CGGTGTTGGAGTGCGGTGGCGTGACCTCGGCTCACTACAGTCTCTGCCTCCTGGGTTCAAGCGATTCTCCTGCCTCAGCCTCCTGAGTAGCTGGGATTAAGGCAGGCACCACCACATCTGACTAATTTTTGTGTTTTTAGTATAGACGGGGTTTCACCATGTTGGCCAGGATGATCTTGATCTCTTGACCTCATGATCTGCCCACTTCTGCCTCCCAAAGTGCTGGGATTACAGGCGTGAGCCACCACCCCTGGCCATGAGTGGTTTCTTTCTTTTGTTTTTTGTTTTTTTGAGACAGTCTTGCTCTTTCATCCAAGCTGGAGTGCAGTGGTGCAATCTCAGCTCACTGCAACCTCTGCCTCCTGAGTTCAAGTGATTCTCATGCCCCAGCCTCCCGAGTAGCTGCGACTACAGGTGTGCACCACTACACCTGGCTCATTTCTTTATTTTTAGTAGAAACAGGGTTTTACCATGTTGGCTATGCTGGTCTTGAACTCCTGACCTCAAGCAGCCTACCTGCCTTGGCCTCCCAAAGTGCTTGGATTACAGGCATGAGCTACCCACACCTGGCCTGGTTTCTTTCACTTACGTGTTTTCAGGGTTAATCCATGTTGTAGCACTTATCAGTACTTCATTCTTCTTTATTGTCAAGATTTCATTGTATGGATATAGCACATTTTATTTATGCATTCATCAGTTTATGGACACCTGGGTTGTTTCTACTTTTGAGCTGAATTTTCCCCAATTTTATTTTAAAATAACAAATTATGGATCCAAAAAACTCAGCAAGTCCCAAGCTAGATAAATACAGAGGTTGTATCTTAGTCAAACTGCCGAAAAAGAAAAAGAAAAAAAATATTTTAAATAGCTAAAAGGAAATAAAAACTATTATATACAGAGGAACAATAGCACTAATGACAACTGACTTTACATCACAAACAGTGGAAACCAGACAACAATGGAGCAATATCTTTAAAATACTGGGAAAGGGAGAAACAAGCAAATATCTAAAAACTCTGTCAACCCAGAATTCTGTGTCTAGCTAAACTATCTTCCAAAAATTAAGATAGGATAAAGGCATTTTTCATCACAAGTAGACCTGCATCACAAGGAATGCTAAAAGAAATTCTGCAGTTTGAAGAGTATAATACGAGGTGGAAAATCAAACTTATAAGAAGAAATTAAGTGTACTGGAAATGGTAAATATTCAGGTAACTGTAAAAGACTGCCTTTTTTTCCTCTTTTAATTTTTTTGAAAGATAACTGACCACTTAATGAAAAAAATTGTATTATGGGGTATATTATATATATAAAATATATGACAACAATGGCACAAAAGTGATGTTCAGTGTAAATTGACTATCATGAGGATTTTATGTTGTAACCTAGAGAGGAGCTATTGTAAAAATTTCTAATAAAAGAGGTATAGCTAAAAAAGATAGATGAATTAAATGGAATGTAAAAAATTTATTCACTCAGAAACAGGAAAGGAGAAACAGAACAAGAATAGATGAGAGGGATGAAAATGAATAGCAAGATAGTAGATTTATACTCAGCCATATCACTAGTTACACTAAATGTCAATGGGGCTAAACACTCCAATTAAATATCAGAGATTGTCAGATTGGATAAAAAGCCAAGACCCAAATATATATTGTCTAAAAGATACGCACTTTAAATATGAAGATACGAATAGGTTGAAAATAAAAGGATGAAAGAAGATGCATCCTACAAACAGTTTACATAAGAAAGTCGCTGTAGCTATATTCATATCAGACAAAGTAGAATATAAGACAAGGAGTATTACCAGAGACAAAGGGGACATTTTATAATGTTAAGAGGGTCCATTCATTAGGAAGAGAGGATAATCCTAAGTGTATATGGACCTAATAATAGTTATTTAAAATACATAGAGCAAAATCTGACAGATAAAAGGGAGAACTAGATAAATTCACAATTATAGTTAGAGATTTTAGTACCCTTTTCTCAGTAATGATAGAACAATTTGGCAGAAAATCAATAAAGACATAGATGATCTGAATAATATCATAACCTCGACTTTGTTGATGGTTATAGAATACTATAATCAACCACATGGAACAAGAACATATTGATGAGTTGCGTGTGGTGGCTCACGCCTGTAATCCCAGCACTTTGGGAGGCCAAGGCAGGCAGATTGCCTGAGCTCAGAAGTTTGAGACCAGCCTGGACAACAAAAAAAAAACCCCGTCTCTACAAGAAAACACAAAAATTAGCCAGGCATGGTGGCGCATACCTGTAGTCACTGTTCCTTTTGGAGCTGAGGCAGGAGGATGGCTTGAGCCCAGGAGGTCAGTGCTGCAGTGAGCCAAGATAGTGCCACTGCACTGCAGTCTGGGTGACAGAGCGAGACTCAGTCTCTTAAAAAACCTAAAACCCAACATGTTGAACATTCACTGAAATGTGCTGAAACATAAAATAAGTCTCAATATATTTCAAGATTAAAATCTTAGAGAGTATGTTCCCTGACCACAGTGTAATTAAATTAGAAATAAACAACAAAAAGATATTCAGAAAACCCCCCCAAAACTTAGTAACCACTACACTTCTAAATAACCCATGGGTCAAAAAAGAAATCATAAGGGATCTTAGAATTTTATTTTATTTTATTATTATTATTATTTTTGAGATGGAGTCTCCGTCATCCAGGCTGGAGTGCAGTAGTGCAGTCTCGGCTCATGGCAAATTCCACCTCCTGGCCTCAGCCTCCCAAGTAGCTGGGACTACCAGCGTGTCCCAGACACCTGGCTAATTTTTGTGTTTTTAGTAGAGACGGGGTTTCCCCATATTGGCCGGGCTGGTCTTGAACTGCTGACCTCAGGTGATCCACCCTCCTTAGCCTCCCAGAGTGCTGGGATTACAGGAGTGAGCCACCATGCCTGGCCTTAGAAAATACTTCTAACAGAATGATGTTGAAAATATAACATACCAAATTTGTAGCATGCAGCTAAAGCAGTATCTCAAGGGAAAGTAATAGCATATATACTTATGTTAAAAAGGAAAAAATTGTAAAACCAATAATCTAAATTTTCACCTTAGGAAGCTAGAAAAAAAATGAGCAAATTAAACCCAAACTAAGTAGAAGAAAATAAATAGTAAAGGTAAGAGCAGAAATCAGTAAAATAGACAATTATTAGAAAAAATAATAAAGCCTAAAGTTGATCATTTGAAAGAATTAATAAAAGTTATAAAGAACAAATTTAAGCTAATACATTTGACAACTTAGATGAAATGGACAGATTTCTTGTAAAGCTCAACTTATAAAAATGACACAAGATCAATTGGAAATTCTGAACAGCCTCATATCTATTATAGAAATTAAATTCAATAAAATATTTAGAGAAGAAATACCAGTCTTCCACAAACTTTCTCAAAAATAGAGAAGGAAACATTTCCCAAATTGTTTTATGAGAACATTATCCAGATAGCAAAGCCTGACAAAGACATGACATGACAAGAAAGAAAATGGAGTGCAAAATAGTACAACCACGTTGGCAAGCTGACAGTTTCTTATAAAGTTAAATATACTTTTACCCTAGGTCCTAGCAATTCCACTCTTAGTAATTACCCAGAGAAATGAAAACATGTTCACAAGCACTTGTACAAGAATACTTATAGCAGTTTTGTTCCTAATAGTGAAAAGCTGCAGGCAATTAAAATATCCAACAAAAATATCAAACAAAATCACGAATGAAAACGTTGTGGCATAGTTGGTGGTGATAGAAATCAGAGCAGTGGTTGCCTAAGGGAGGTAGGGATTGTCTGGAAGCAAAGTTAAGGGAGATTCTGGGTCATGGAAATGTTCTGTATCTTCATTGGAGTATTGGTTACATAAGCATATACATTTATCAAAACTCACTAAATTATGCACTTAAGGTAAATTTCACTGTAGGTAAATTTTACTTCCCAAAAAAGTAAAAAGCTTATATAGTTAAAATAGAAATGATTATTTCTGTAGTCAAAACCATATATACTATTTTGACTATATATGACTTAAAATTCAGTGCATGTTTTAATTTTGTTTGAACAAACATTTAGCATATATCTACTATGGGTGAGCATTGCAGCAGTTGTAGGGTTATAAAGATGAGTAAGAGAAAGAAGCTGGACTCAGAGCTCAGCATCTAGTGGGAGCCATAGAAACACAGGAGATTAAGTGCCAATGTAGAGATGGAGGCTGAGTATGAGATAAGTGCAAAAGAGGGAGGAAGTGATTCTGATTTGGTGGTGTTAGATAAATGGGACCAGAAAGTGAATTAACTTATGCAAGGGGAAGAAGGGTTTTTCGGGTAAAAAAAAACAAAAAACAAAACCTCATGAATGAGCTAAGGTACAGAAGCAAGAGCCTGCATAACGTATTTGCAGAATTTTAAGTGGCCCAGTGTGACCACAGTGGTGGAAGAGAATATAACTTAATGATGGAACCAGATTGTACAGTCTTAAATGCCATACGAAGGAGTTTAGAATTATAGGCAATAAGGGACCACTGAGGCATTTAGATAGGAGTGACATCAATTCCGTTTCTGTGTTTTAGAAAAGAATACCTGGTAGTAGTAAAGAAGAATTATTAAAGTTGGAGAGAGATTAGAGGCAGAATTAATAGAAAGGAGATGTAAGAATCCAGTAGTCATTTAATTTAAAAAAAACAGGTATTCAGTAGAATTTTATGATTAACCATTTATATTTGGCTATTCTTATTTTTTCTTTAAAATTAACAATAGGAATCCAGAAACGTTTTGGACCACCACAGGAATGTTTCCCCAGGAATTCATTATTTGTTTCCACAAACATGTAAGGATTGAAAGGCTTGTAATCCAAAGTTACTTTGGTAAGCAAATCTTACATTAATTTTTTCTTCTTTTTTTTTTCGGTGCTCCAGGTAAGGCTCATGTGTTGATTTTCATTATCCTTTCATTTTTTCCATAGGCAGAAGGCATGTATGTAAACTTTTGGCAAAACACTAGTTTTTCTTTATAGCATGGAATCCAGTTTTATTGCTGGGGTGAAAGGATGGGGATTATGGGTTAACTGCCTTGAGCTCAACTGGCCTCTCTGAAACTGCAAATTTGAAACCCTTCCAAAGCACATAATAATTTCCATGCAATTTACTATGTAAAAGTCTGGCAAAAGGCCCTATTAGGAATATAAGATGCCAGCTTGCCAGAACACTAAGTTCCATGACATCTTTATTCTAGATTCATTTGTCCTGGAGTTCTTTGTGAAATTCTTGTTGAAAATCTGATAACCCTGATTATTTACATTGGATAGTTGTGATTCTTCTATTACTAGTGGCATTTTCTCAGGAATTTAGGGGGATAATCTCCCTTGGGACATCATTCTAATCCTATTTATTTAAGGATAAAATGTATCAGACAAAATCATGGCAGGAAACAGAATACATCCCAGATGGTTCAAATGAAGAGGCTCTATTGATGGGGCTACTTGCAAAATTATGGCCTGGGTTAAGGGAAGAAACAAGGCAAGGAATGATGAGGCCCTCAGAAACTAGCTGTAGCAGGAAGCTGTGACCAGCCCTGGCACAAGGGAAGGAAATAGTGTTATCAGAGATCTGTGAGAGCTGGAGCCTGTGTAAAAGGGCCTAATAGGAGCTGTAGGCAGGAGAAACTGTCAAAGATGTCACACTGAAGCAGGAAGGGAGTGGAGATAAAATTGGCTGATCTCCCTTCCCCACCCCAATCTCCCCCTGGTGTCTCCCACTGGACAAATCCAGTCAGAAGGCAGTGGTAAATGAATCCATGTGATACAGTCCACAGAGGTTAGCCCCTCAGGGCACAGAACAGGACAAAGAAGAGGAGGAATGGATCTGGAGTGGTAGAGACTGGACTGAGAACAGTGGAGAAAAACCAGTTTAGAAGGAAGATGACTGTATTCCTGATAAGTCTCTTTTCTCATTAATTGTGGAGGCTCTGGGTTTGAATTCCATTTCTGGTACTTACTAGCTGTATATCATTGAACACCTTGCTTGGCTCCTCTAAACCTGTTTTCTCACCAGTAAAGTGGGTTAAAATACCTTTCTCATAAGATTGTAGTCAAAAGTGAATGGATAAATATGTTTGACTCATCATAGGCTCTCCATAAATGTTTATGACCAAGACCACCAATAGTATTATTATTGCCAGTACACACAAAAAAATTGGAATAATGCCAAATTCAAAAAAGCTCTACTTGCTCTGTGTTGTATGGTTGCTAACATTTGGAAGATTAGTTACACGACTATATTTTACCATAGGGTTTTTTGGAAAAATACAGAGTAACTTCCATGATGTTTCTGATCCCAGTGTTTGTGTAGTTCCACTGTGCATGACAATCTCAGGCAGAGGGAAAAAGAAATATAGGGTCAAAAACGTAGAGACAGATTAACACTTTACTTACTTTGTTTGTTGACAATGTCAGTACAGACCTTGAAGATTGAAAAGAGCACGTCTAAAGAGCCAGTTGATTTTGAGCAATGGATTGAAAAAGGTATGTGTTTCACCAGCATTGTTCTGAGCATGAAGGAGTAGATAATATTCCTTTGACTCTACATTTCTCATCTAGCTGCACTTTGGTGAAAAAAGATGACTTCAGTGATCCTTGTGACACATTTAGGACCTAGAAAGACCCAGGTTTGAACACAAAGCTGCTTCTTCATTTACTGGTTATATAACTATTAACATGTGACTTAATTTTTCTCAGTTTCAAAATCCTTATTAGGAAAATGGCGATGATATCTATCATTTAAGGTTTTGGTGAACTAGTGTCTGGCATATAATAGACAATAAATATTAGTTTCTCATCTTTCCTTTCCTCCCGATTAATGGTACTATTTAAATATCACCAGCAGAATTGATAGCCTCTACTTAATTAAACACAGCATCTTGCCTTCATATGTCTCTTTTCCCTCTGAAAATATCATGAAAATAATAGTAAAGGAATAAAAACAGGCATAAACCTACAAGGACAAAGATTAAACAACCAGTAAACTAAAGCAAATGTGAGAAAGCAGATGGAAGAGTAGTAACTTCTTTAGCTGAATGAACTAGGTTATAACCTAAGGTCTTGCCAAGGAGCATATCAATAAGAAGCAAGCCACTTTGTCACACAGAACCCCAGAAAGGCCTAGAGCTCAAAGGCAACAGGTGCCATGGGAAGTATGAATGAGACCCGGGTCAGAAAATAAGGATGATTAGTTGAACATCTATATACAGAGTAATCAGACTCTAGGTACCTTCTTCCATCCTGCAAAGCTAAGTGACCACTCCTTTCTCCCACAGACCTCCACCACCACCCTCAAGAGACAACTGCAAATATAGAATGTTGAGGCTCAGGAGACCAGATACATAGTAGGGAGTGAGTGAGACATGGAGTTGAAAATTGGATACTAGTGGAAGTCTACATATTGAATAGCGGGAACACCAGCCTCCTTCCTGTGTTCTGGTATTAATGTCAGCAGCCAAGAATATACCCTCAGCTGGAAGACTGGAACATTCATCTTTGGAGAAACTAAATGGCCCTAGAAAAAAGACCTATGGATACTGATAAAGGCCAGCTCATTTCTGGTCACCCTATGGTCCAGTAATCAACAAGTGTAGCTCATGCACACAGTTTTCAAATGATGCACAGTTTTCAAATAATCCAGAAGTAACAAAAGACAAAGATCACAAGACATTGATGAAGACCTCAGACCATGAATATAATCAAGTTTTTAGCTCTAATTTCCAATCTATAAGAAATATAGAGGATAGAGGAACAAATTAAGTGAAACTACGAATAGGCAATATGATAAAATCTAGAATGTGGGGCATGGGCACAGTGGCTCATGCCTGTAATCTCAATACTTTGGGAGGCTGAGGGAGGAGGATTGCATGAGCCCAGGAGTTCAAGACTGGCCTGGGAAACATGGCAAGATGTTGTTTCTACAAAAAAATTTAAAAATTAGCTAGGGATGGTGACATGTGCCTGTAATTGTAGCTACTTGGGAGGCTGAGATGGAAGGATCACTTGAGCCCAGCAGGTTGAGACTGCAATGAGCTGTGATCATGCCACTGCACTTCAGCCTTGGTGACAGAGCAAGACCCCATCTCTAAAAAAAAAAAATCTAGAATGTGGGACACTGTATGGGACAACTGACCTGGTGTCTTCAGTAAGTCAGAGCCATTAAAAAATGGGGGAGAGAAAGCAGTTCAAGGTTAAAAGATACTTAACTCTGATTTTAATAAACCAATTATGAAAAGACAGGGACAATTGGGAAAATTTGAATAGGAATTGGGTTTCATATTATATTAAAACACTATTTTTAACGTTATGATGGTGGTATTATGGTTATATAAATAATTACTATTTAGAAATGGATAATTAAGTATTTAGGGGAAGCTAGGCTCACGCCCATAATCCCAGCATTTTGGGAGGCTGAGGTGGGTGGATCGCTTGATCTCAGGAATTCAAGAAACTACCCTGGGCAACATGGAGAAATCTTGTTTCTACAAAAAATATATATACATATTTGCTAGGTATGGTGGCATACACCTGTAGTCCCAGCTACTTGGGAGGCTGAGGAAGGAAGATCACTTAAGCCTGGGAGGTGAAGGTTGCAGTGAGCTGAGATCGTGCCATTACACTTAAATCTAGGTGACAGAGTGAGAGCCTGTCTCAAAAGAACAAAAAAGTATTTAGAGGTAAAATGTCAAATAATGTCTTGCACTTGCTTTAATTTTTGTTTTTTTTTTTTTTTGAGGCCGGAGTGCAGTGGCACAATCTTGGGTCACTGCAACTTCTGCCTCCCAGGTTCAAGCCTTAGCCTCCTGAGTAGCTGGAATTACAGGCATGCACCATGATGCCTGGCTAATTTTTGTATTTTTGGTAGAGAAAGAGTTTTCACCATGTTGGCCAGGCTGGTCTCAAACTCCTGACCTCAAATGATCTACCCACCTCAGCCTCTCATAGTGCTGGTATTACAGTAGTGAGCCACCACACCTGACCTAAAATACTTTAGTGAAAAAAAAATTGATAAATCCACTTTGATGAAATGTTAGTAATTATAAAATCTAGCTTATGGGTATATGTGGGAGTTTTGTTATGTTCTCTCCTAAGTATGTTTGATATTTTTCTTTTCTTTTT